AGAGAGAGAGAGAGAGAAAGTTGATCGCCCTAACCCCATCCTGAGCTCTGGGGCAGCGGGCTCAGAGCCAGGCTGCCTGGTAGAGCTTGGGGACCCCGGCGGAGCAGCCAGCATGGCGGTATCTCGGGCTCCTGTGCTCTCCCCACAGATTCGAAGGCTGAGGATTGAGATTGAGAAGCTGCAGTGGCTGCACCAGCAGGAGCTCGCTGAGATGAAGCACAACCTGGGTAAGGCCCAGGGCGGGGAGAGCCTCTGGCTGCTTCGAGGCTGGACCCAGAAGTGAACAGGTCAAAACCAGCTGTACCTGGAGTCAGGGAGATCACAGTCCTCAGGGGTCCTCCAGCCTGGAGAAGCTGAGCTTGGGGTGCATACCCCCCTTTCCCTCTCAAGATAACCATTCCCCCCACCTTGGTGGGATCTGGGGACTGAGCTCAGGATGTAAGGCTTGGCCACAAGTGCCTTTACCAACTGAGCCACAATGGTAGCCCTTTGCTGGTCTTTATAATTCAGGAAGAGCTTGTGAGGACTGGAGGAACCATTTAGTTTCAATGTAACGGTCACGTGTCAATGTGTATACTGCCTGGAATTTTTTTAGGAATGAGTGGTTTGGTAGTTCCCCTGTTACCATGACACCTGTCCACATTGTTTCCTGATGTTTCATTCAGTGTCTCAAGACAGGATTCTAAGAAAATTGTCTGAGTGCCTTTGTTATCTGTGTGCCTCAGTTTCCTCATCTGTGAAACAGGATGGTGGAGTTTATCCTTGAAAGTATGACAGGGCTTATGGTACAAAGAGCTTAGGAACAAGTTTGCATATAGTAGGTGCTGTGTATGTATTTGATTGAGAGAAAAAAAAAATCAAAAGTTGACTAAGTATTGGTTGGAATCGTTTGAAGGATTTGTGGAATTCCTACAACTTGGGGTTACTTGGGATGATGTTGCTGGGGTCTCCGATCACCTACATACTAGGCATGTCACTGACACAGGACAGGCTCTGAGATTCCAGTGATGAATGTCCCAGCTGGGTTACTGGCCCAGGGCCAGCGCTAACAGGGGCCATTTCCAAGTCAAGACTTAGGTCGGGTTTGTGTGAACCTAGGGGTTCTGATGCCCGGTGTCCTGTGCTGGGTCCGTGATGCAGCTAGTGTCCTCTTCCTCCCAGAGCTGACCATGGCTGAGATGCGGCAGAGCCTGGAACAGGAGCGGGATCGGCTCATCGCTGAGGTGAAGAAGCAGCTGGAGCTGGAGAAGCAGCAGGCGGTGGACGAGACCAAGAAGAAGCAATGGTGTGCCAACTGCAAGAAGGAGGCCATTTTCTACTGCTGCTGGAACACCAGCTACTGCGACTACCCCTGTCAGCAGGCCCACTGGCCTGAGCACATGAAGTCCTGTACCCAGTCGGGTAATGTCTGGGTGCTCGCCTGGGGGGCTGTGTGGTGGGGCCTCCCTGCCAGGGTGCTGAGGGATGCTTGCCCAGGTTCTTGCCACTTCTGACCATAAACAGCTGTTGCTCTGACACACAAGAGATGCAGATGTGAAGTTAAATCTCAAAACCTGGCAGTGTCCGCACTCAACAACAGGCAGATGAGCAGAGATTTTAAGTGTGTGATTTAGCACTGAGAGTGGTTCCCACCCCTTCTTTCTCTCTCTCTTGATTTATTATGTATACAGTGTTCTGTCTGCATGTATGCCTGAATGCCAGAAGAGGGGACCATATCTCATTATAGATAGTTGTGAGCCACCACATGGTTGCTGGGAATTGAACTCGGGACCTCTGGAAGAGCAGCCAGTGAAAGCGCTATAAATCTCTGAGCTATCTCTCAGCCCCTAGAACCTCTGTTCTCTGAGGTGATAGTGAAGCACTGCCTCAAACAGGATGCTGTCCCAGTTCTTGCCTCACATTTGAGAATGTGGAGAACCCAGGTGGCGTGTGTTTGCTGGGGACTGACTGGTTGATTATTGAGACTGCCTGGATGACCATTATCTCCTTTTGGATGCTAGCAGGAAACACCATCTGCTAACGGTTTCCAGTGACTTTAAGTTGTGTAGTTAGGGTTTGTGCTTAAGTGACTCTGGGGTACTTGCCACTGTGTTTGGTGATGTCCACTAGAGGGAGGCCTCCATGTGGGTCCTTCTGCATCATAGTTAGTCTCTGGCAGTACAGTCTCGACTTTCTCTGTGGCATGGCGATGCCTCTGTCTCTAACTCTTCTCTGCTGTTCTGTTCTCCCAGAAGCTCTGTGCCCCTCTCAAAGGATGCTAGACTCCCTCACTCTGCCTCAGCTGGCCTGAGGTGGACTAAGCCTACCAGAGGAAGGCCACAGGCTTCCTCGGTGGTCACATCCTGGCTCCCCACGAGTTTCCTTTGCTTAGAGACCATGTTCTCAGCAAGATGATTTAAAAATTGAATTGCTTAATATTAAAAGGTCTATTTTCAAATAAAGTTTGGAGCTCTCGGTTTTGGAGCCTGAGGCCTATGCAAGATCTCTAGGTGGGCTTGGGAGGGATGGACCCTGGTGGGGTTGGATTGGTACTGGGCTGTGGGAACCTCAGGGTAGCATAGTTTTAAAGCCAGGCTACTGAACAGTCACACAGGGCTTGAAGCATCTCATGACTTCCTTGTTCTTGTTGGTCCCCAGCCACTGCCCCTCAGCAGGAAGCAGATGCTGAGGCAAGCACAGAATCAGGAACTAAGTCCTCCCAGGGCAGCACCTCCAATACACAGTCAGCACCTTCAGAACCAGCAAGTACCCCCAAAGAGAAGGAGCCAACAGCGGAGAAGAGCAAGGACAGTAACTCGGTGAGGATGCCTCCCCAAGCCCCACCCGCTGACAGTCACCCTGTGCCAAGGACCCTTTCTGTATCTCCCACCACCGACTGTCCCTTGACGTTTGGATTTCTCTGGGTGGGGACTGGTTCTTTATGGCCAGTGTGTCCCCCATGTGAGAGCATGGCGAGCCTGGGTGGTGTGTATGTGGGGTCTTCAGCTGCTCTGTAGGGTTCCTCAAAGTTCAGAAGGCTGCTCCTCCTGTGGAGGTGAGTCCATGTCTCCTCTGCTGACCCTGGAAGCCACCAGCCACACGTCACTATAGAGGACTAGAAGTGTGACTGGTGTGACCAAGGACCTGCTTATTTTAAAGTTTCTTGATATTCAAGTGGCCACATGTGGCCAGTACTGTCTGTCACACTGGACCATAGGGCTCGCAGCTGCTTGCTTCCTGTGGGGTATGTGGTAACAGTTGGACCAAGCAGGCAGAGCATAAGGTGTGTGGCCGTCCGTATGCCCTGGCGCTTGTCTGATCACCAGGTAGAGGCCTCTAAGGTGTCTTGGTTGGGGGGAGTGCTGAGCCCTCCCATGATTCCCTGGGGTTCTATGGTCCCATCTTTTTGTTTATGTTTGTAGACCCTGGACCTTTCCGGCTCCAGGGAGACGCCCTCCTCCGTTCTCCTGGGCTCCAACCAAGGCTCTGGTATGTATGTCACCCCCTGGTGGGCACATGGGGTTTTGTATTTCACTTGGTCACATTAGGGGAAGTCAAAGGTTTGGGATTTTTTCTTTCATTTATTTATTTATTTATTTCATAACTTGGATGGATTTAGGTGGATGTGTGGGTAGGCAAAGTGTTATCCGGGTAATTTCTTGTATTGGTCACCAGTGTATGTCGTGTTTACCGAGGGCACCATTCCCTGGGACACACGGTGATCCTCTCAGGTTACTGAGGTCTACAGGGCATATTTGATTCATGAAGACCCTCAAAGCCTTTAGTGATGAAGACAGTGATGAATAGAACTTCTGTGTCAAGCCTCTTTTGGGATCCGCTACTAGGTGTTGTGGTGTTTGAGCCTCCCTCCCTTCCTGGGAGCCTTGGGTGTCCTTTCCTACGTTCTTCTGACTTTATTTCCAGAGTTCGGAGCCATGGCTTCCTTGGCCAGTTTGAGGTTCTCTCCTGTTGTCTTGACTCTGGGATCTTTCTGTCCCTTGGTTTCCTGTGGCTGAAGACTGAAAGTTAAGGCCTTTCTTGTGCACAGTGAGTGCACAGAGGATTGGCAGGCTGATGGTAGGGTGGAGAGTGTACTGACTGGAGACCACAGTGAGGGAAGCCGCCCCTCCCCCACCATCTTCGGCAGTTCCGGCGTGGTGCTGAGCTTCCGGTGCTCTGTCTGTCATTCCACAACTTTATTAGCATCGCAGCTTGTTTTGAATTGTGGTCTTTGATATCATCATCCTCCTGTCTCAGTCTCCTGAGTACTGGAGTAACGGGCCTGTGCCACCTTTCCTGGCTTGAATTCTGCTCTTCGAAAAGACAGAGTGGACTGGATTCCACCAGTTTCATACTCTTAGCATGGGACAGTGCTTTTTTTTTTAAATCATGTTTGAAGAGATGCCTTAATGGATTTTCCACTTTTTTTTTTTTTAGTGGTGATGATAAAAATAAGTTTAAAATTAAAACAGGCATGGTGGTGCATGCTTTTATCCCAGCACTCAGGAGTCAGAGGCTGGTGGATTTCTGTGAGTTCTAGGCCAGCCTGGTCTACAGAGTGAAACTCGGTCTCAGATATAAACAAGCAAAGGCGCCCATGAGCTGAGCGGGGAGGGGACTGTCGGGATGTCTTAATTCCAAGAGTGGAGCTAGCAGTATCCAAGTTTGGAAATGCCATTTGGGACTCCAGGCTGCCACAGGTAGAGCTGAGGCATTTAGGAATGACCTTGAGACCAGGGTGGATCTGCTGGAGGACTCCAGGTGGCTGTTGTGAGTCACAGAGCAAGTAGCCAGATGCAAAGCTGGCAATGTCCCAGCAAACCCTGGCCTGCAGAAGAGGCTGTGCGGCTTGGGCCTGGGGGTTCCATTTGCTGCCCTTTGACCTAGAGAATCTTGGTTCACAGGGAAGAGTGGAGGAAGTGGCTGGGTGTGGGGGAGGGAGTCTTGAGTCTTGTGGGGGAGTTATCGGTGGTTTAGCTAATGGCATCGCAGCGAGGGCTTCTGTGCACGTGCCCTTACCTAGTGTGCCAGGTGCAGTGGGTAGCTCCCACAAAGTCCTTGTTAGTGGAAGCCATGGTTGTTCAGGCCATACCGTGTGGCCTCTGATTCCTTCTTAGCCCCTCCCTTCAGCTGTGTCACGCTGGCACCCTTCCCATCAGAAGCTCTGGTAATGGAACCCAGTCTCCTGGGTTCCTGCTTCCTCAGTGTGCACACCTGGTAACAGCCCTGCTTTCCATGGTTTCCTCAAGCTGCCCCTGAACCCCAGAGTTCAGCGGGAGAACACCACCCAGGGGCACAGACTCTTCCCATGACGACACACACAAGACTTGATCACCCTGGGCACAGTTACTTGGTTACCTTACTAAAGTCCCTACCATGAGCCTCTGCTTCCCTACTCGGTAACAGCAGCATCCCAGGTTCTCTGTTCCTGTCAGAACACCTCCCTGGCTCTACCATGCCTCCACATCCTTGTGAGCATCAGGTATGGGTGCTGTCCTGAGCAGACCGCTAACAGTCTCTGTCTCGTTCAGCCAGGCCAACTTCCGGCACCTGCCCCACCTCTCTGTTCTGTCCTTGGTTTGCCCTCTCACATCTTCCTGGGGAGATGTGATAAATTCACCTGCGTCTCCACCCACACCTCCCATCCATCACTGATAGAGAGTTCCACAGGAGTCACGGTCAGGATGTGTCCATCCTGGAAATGCACGTCAAACTCTTGAGCTCATGTGACTAAAGGCTGAGGGATGAAATTTTCTTTCAGGTCATTTAAATAGTGCCTTTGGTTTGTGGTTACTGGATTGAGCAGCACAACCTGACACCTATCCACTCGGCTGCCCCAGACCAGTTAGAGCCTCCCCTGGCTTCCCATCCCGCCTCCATCTCCCTCGTCACACTCCCCATCCGTCTGGCTTCTGTGTTGGCATGTCACTGTTATCTTAAGAGATGGAACCATCTGTTGGGGTGTAGTGACACACACCTTTCGTCTTTAATCTCATTACTCTGGAGGCAGAGAATGGTGGATCTCTGTGAGTTTGAGGTTAGCCCGGTTTACAGAGTGAGTTCCAGACCATCTAGAGCTGCATAGTGAGACCCATCTCAAAAAAACAAAAAAGGGATGGAGAGGAAGCCACTGACAAGCAAGGGTATCTAGATGTCTTAATGTTGTGAGGTTAATTATTGCTATTTTTTTTTTCTTAGAGTGCTGGGCATGGATGCAGTGCTTGGGACAGACCCAAAGCCTTGCATATGTTAGACTGCTCTTCTTCAGTCTGAGCCCCAACCCAGCCGACATGTTCTGATAAGTTATCTCAGACAATGCCCAGGCGGGTGGAGATTTCAGAACAAGCCTTGTCTTGACTCTGGGGGGTAAAGAATGAGGCTGGGGAGATAGAGAGGTGGTTCAGAGGGTCCAAACAGGAAGGCCTAAAATGTATGCCTATGTAAAAGACCTGGGGGGGGCAGCCTGTGATCCCAGCACTATTACCCAGAGATCTCAAAGACTCACTGGCCAGACATGAATTTCAGACTCAAAAAAAAAAGTAGAAATAATTGAGGACGCCATTTATTGACCTCCAGACTCTGTACACACACGTTACATGTACACACACATGTTATATGTACACACGTTACATGTACGCACACATGTTATATGTACACACATGTTACATGTATGCACACGTTACATGTACATCCACACCCACTTACATGTTATGTGTACACCCAACATTCCCTCACACTCACACATTACATATATGCCCCCACCACACACGTTACATGTACACCCCCACTCACACATGTTACATGTATACACCCCCCCACACACACACACGTTTCTTGTACACACATCTCATACACACACTTCCCCAGTAGGTCATGCGGACCGCTCCTGTTTGTCCTTTGTACTCGATGGCTTTTTGTGTGGTATTGAGGATTGAACTCAGGGCTGCATGCATGCTGGATAAGGGCTCACCATGGAGTCATGCATGCCCCTTAAGGGTTTTAAGCAGAATCTCCCTGTATACAAGCACAGAAGCTAGACTAGAGCCGGCAAGGTGTCCATTGCCTGAGTCCACTGTCACGCTGGCCCTCAGGGGACTTCCACAGGCCTGCTTTCTGACCTGTCTTTAGAATGTGTCAGTGAACTTCACCTCCCTGATTTCTGATTGCTTTCTGTGGTCTGGCCACATTTGACTGAGTGAGCCTGCCTTCCTCCTAGCCTGTCAGGAGAGTCTTGGCGCCTTACCCTCTCTGTCTCTGCTTGTGGCCTGCTGGCATCAAGACTGAGAACATGTGCGTTCCGCTGTCTCCTCTCGTCTCTCCTCTCTCTGTGAAAAGTTGTAATCCCACGGTTCATTTGCACTAACTGTGATGCCACTCAGCACCTAGACACATGGCCACTGCGGTGACATTTCTGTCAACTTTCCTTCTTCCTCTTGATTCTGCTTTTTCCTTCTTCAGGATATTCTTCAATGTACATGTTCCTTCCACTTACATTTTTAGGTTTTTAGGCACTTTTGCTCTGTTGCCAAAGCTGACTTCAAAGTCATGATCCTCCTGCCTCAGCCTCCTGAGGGCTGGGGTGACAGGTGGGAGAGCCCATTTGGCTTTTCTGAGGATTTGGATATAGTTTGCAGATGTCCCTTTATTGCGGCCGAGGTTTAGTCAGCTGGTCCCTCCCAGTTGCTATCCCTTGCCGTCCTCCGTGTGGCCCCTTTGCTAGCCTTCCTCTTCCTCACAGACCTTCAGTCTATGCTCTGCTCGGCTCTGTGGTGCCTGACGACCTAGTGCACCTCAACACAGCCTCAGTTTCCCTCCTAGAACCAGGCTTTGGCAAAGCTTGTGGCTCGGAACATTTTGCTTTCCAAGTCCCGAGCATCTGTGGCTTGCAAAGTACGGGGCTGCTTTGATGTCCCCGTATGTCCTTATATGTCCACCTTCCTCCCTGTGATGTGGCGCCGTGTCCAGCGACCCTGTTTGTGGTTTACACACGTTTTTAAAAGCCCCAGTCACCTGTAAGCACATCCAATTGAGTGGTCTACATGAAGGAACAGCTAGCCCGTCAGTGACCGTGGGTGTCGGCCCCTGGGGTTGTGTGGATTTCAGCTGTGATGGACTCTAAGGGTACCTGTGCTCTCTTCAGTTAGCAAGAGGTGTGACAAGCAGCCTGCCTATACCCCAACCACTACAGACCACCAGCCGCACCCCAACTACCCCGCCCAGAAGTGTAAGTATGACCCTGTCTCGGGGAGCTGCTGGGAGTCACTCCTGGCATGCAGAAACCTCGTTGTGTGTGTCCGTGTGTGTCTGTGTGGGTGTGTCCTGTGCTTTGAGTATCGTCTCCCTCTGCTTTGCCGTCAGTCTTCTTGTCTGTTCCTCTTGTTACCTTTGCAAACTGCTATAGGTTTGGCCTTTCAGAGCCTTTGCTTTGTCTTAGCTAGACACTGCATCTCCCCTGCCGTGATCTGACATGTTATCCAGCATCCTGGGCCCACTCCATCAGAGGCTCAGGCCTACAGACCTTGAGATCTCTAGTTCTGTTTCTTTCATATCCCCAATGATCTTGGCTCTCCCCATAGCCAAGGACTTGGTGATGTGTGACTGTATCCATGTCACCCCCTCAGAGACCTTCTAGAAGATTATAGTGTTACTGCCAGGAACTGGAGCTCACATAGAGGACCATTTGGAACCCTGATTATTCTTTTAGAACACTGCCCCCTTCTGGCTGAATATAAAAGCAACTGGAGCCTTTTTTCTTTTTCTTTTTTTCTTTTTTTGGCATGTGCTTTGTGAACAGGCAGTAAGAAGGGCAGTCCCCCCAGGGGCAGCAGCCTTCTATCCTCACTGGCCCCGCTCTGTCGGAGAGTTAGAGAATCTGGGAGCAGCAAAGGGGTCTTAGTGGCTGGTCATAGCCATCACTCTGCCCACAGTGTGGGCTGTTGTCCTCTTCTGATAGCTTCTGTGGCTCTTCTTTTAGCTTCCTCTTTCTTTCCCCAGCCACTACCTAACTTGCTGCCAGTGTGTCCTCAAAGCCGTCTCAGGTATCTGTTGGGATCTGTATCCATCACTGACCCCAACATGGTCCTTACTGGGAGTCCACGGGGTCAGTGTCCGGGTGGGCTTAGCCATCTCATCTGGTCCTCAGTTCTTCTCTTACAATCTCTTCCTGGTTTGGATGTAAGTCTTATAAATTAATCAGGAGTTCTGTTAATGTAAGGAAGACCACATTATGCCAGATTCTGAGGGTCTTTCTCCAAGAGCTGAGATCAGAGGCAAAGTGCATGGGCCTCCGGAGTATGGTCCGGTCACTCAACGGGGCAGAGGTACCCCCTCAACTGGACACCATCACTCGGTAACCTTCACTCTCTGCAAGCGTGACACCTGTTGATCTTGCAATTAGCTAAGGCCTAAAAGCCAGATGCCCTCACTCTACTCTACAGCCACAGCCATGGGGTGAGGGGGCAGCTGTGGCTGTGGCCCAGCTGGAGGGAGGGACGGTGACTCCCAGCTGGGAGGTGGGGAGGGGAGTTGAACTTGCTGCCTTTCCTCCGCAGACCACTCCCGGAGCAGCAAGGCGGGTTTGTGGAGCAGCAGCGAGGAGAAGCGAGGGTCATCACGTTCCGAGCACAACACCGGGACCAGCACAAAGAACCTCATGCCCAAAGAGTCCCGGGAGTCTCGGCTAGACACCTTCTGGGACTAAGGGTGTATTGTGAGCCAGGACACCTCCCTGTGTGTGGGGGAACAACCCATACTACAGGACGTAACAGAAACTGGAGAACCGCCACCTTTAGAATTCGCAACACTCAGGCTCTGCCCGTGGGCTTGGCTGCAGGACAGCGGCTTGACTCCATCCCAGCTCCAGCCTTGGCTGGGAAGGCTCTCCCCTGTGAGCCAAACACTTTAGGTGTAAGTAGGTACACTTCGTGATGTCACTGACCTAGCGTACCTTTCTTTTTCATATCTATACTGACCTTAACTTATAAAAAAGAAAAACAGAAAAGAAAAGCAAGTTATATATATATATAAATAATCTACAGTTAAAAGAATGTTTTGATAATCCAGGGTTCGTTAGCCCGCTGGCCTCACCGTGGGATCAGGGCTGGGCCCAGGGATTGCTATTCTCACATAGGCCCTTGTCCTGGATACCCAGGGGAGGGAGCCACGGTCGCCTGCAGCACACCATGATCGGGGCTCTCAGGCTGTGCTGTCCTGGACCCGCCACCACCAAGCCATCGGCCCCTCACAGACCCTACAAGACGATGTTAGGAAACACAAGCTTGCCGGGCTCGAAGGACACATAAGTGTGTTTGTGTGTGATGTGTTTCCAGCTATGGTTCCCGAAAGGGCAAAGCAGCCTCCTGTTTACAGAAGGCTCACTCGAACAGTCCTCCCGCGCGGCACGGACGCAGAGGCGGACAGTGTTCGCGCTGGGGGCGTCATGAACACAGCTGGTGTTCTTGAGGGGAGACTCCCTTCTCTCAGCTGAGTCTTTCCCATGAGCACTCACACCGATTTGTGAAGATGTACTTCTCAGAAGCAAAGACTCAAAAGGCAAGGTGCACGGCGAGGCCACGTGAGCCCGGGGATGGAGCATGTATGTATTATTTATGTGCTGGAGTTCCACGTTTTTATGTAAGCATGAAACACAGGCAGTGTGAGAGAAAGCCAGGACCCGACATGCTGTCCGTTATCGCTACGTCTGCTGTAGTTCCATTTTGTATGTTGTGTAAAACGAGCATCCGTCGGCGCAAGAGGTCATGTGTGTATATCAGAAGAAGAATTAATTGTATATCATTCCAGTACATTCCGTTGTACATTTTAATCTCCGTTTACTTTCTCTTCATTGTTGATAAGAGAATGCAAGCTGCGCACTGTCCAGCTAGTTTACCCCTACTAGAGAAGAAAGGAAGAAACAATAGAAGAAAACGGGAGAGAGAGAGAAAATTTGTGAATTGCGGTCGTCAAAAAAAAAAAAAAAAAAAAAAAAAAAAAAAAATCTAGCCTAGCTGGCCTTATTTGGGGAACGTAACTGCTTTTAGCATATGGGAGTATTTTTTCACATTTTCTTTGTATAAAATTTGTATTAAACTTAAATATCTTTTTTGATGATGGTGTTTCTTCGTGACTGAGCGGTGCTCTCTTGTGGTTATGAACTTTCGGGTTCTCCCCCTTGGAAGTCCCAAGTTTTTCAGATTCTTAACCTTTTTAAAGAAGTTAAACCGTTTGGGCATGCCAGTCTCCCGTGGGTCAGGGTGTGACTGTGTCAGGTTTGAATGCCCAAATACAAAAGGCAACTGGTCCCCCCTGAGGTCCTGGGAACCCTCCAGGGGCATGGCCCAGACTGGTACTTTCTTACCAGCCATGGTAGCTGTAGTCTTCTGAGGCCCAGGCTCAGTGAGTGCTTCACCAGCCTTTAGCCCTAGGCCAGAAGGTCCTTCTTCCAAGGCTGTTTCCCATGGCCTTCTGGGTAGAGATATCCATATCTCTGGCCTGGGGCTCATGCCTGCATTCGTAGTACCTTTCTTTGCAAATGCTCAGGTGTGTCTCCCAGTTGTGTGTTAGTTGGGGGTGGGGGTGGGGTTGACCTGTTTTCCCTCCTGTGTCCCCAGGAGTTAAAAGGGATATTAAGGGGTCACCCACAGAAAGCCACCTCTAGGCCATCCTCTCCAGAACCTTGTATCCCCCCAAAGCTTTCCACAGAGGAGAAGACTTGAAGAACTGACTTGCCTACTTGGGTAGGAAAATGGTGGATTTAAAAAAAAAAATGTGAATTTTAGCCTGAGAATATGGCTCAGTTTGAAGAGTGCTTGCCTGGCATGCACAAGGCCCTGAGTTTGATCCCTAGCATTTCATAAAACTAGCCACATACCCATAATCTCAGCACTTGGGAGGCAGAGGCAGGAGAATCACAACTTCAAAGTCACCTTTAGCTAATGAGTTAGAGACCAGCCTGAGCTCCACGGGACCCTGTCACAAATAAATGAGTGAACAAATTATGCAAAATTTGATTTTATCTTTTTATTCAACTGCCAAACGAAGTCACATGTCTCCTTTGAAAGGGGCTGTGTAAAGGCCCTTCCATCCACCCTGCTTCACTAGTGTCCTCGAATGTCCCTCGGTGTTCAGCATTCACATAGTTCAGACTTCTCTCTCCCTTTGCATGCCCAAATGGGACATTTGACACACTTCCAATGAGCTTGTTTCACTTAGCATTTGATTACAGGGTCAGAATGTCGTCATTCCATATGCTGGGGAAGTATGGCCTGTCAAGTGGACAGTCCTTACAGGCTGTCCCCACGTGGTAGCCAGATCATCTCCAGGCATCACTGTACAAGCTCTGGTCTCATTGGAGTCACAGTTGCAGTCCAGGGGGTCAGTGTATGGTGGGGACACTGCAGGTGGTGACACAGCTGCTGGCTTCTTGTGACCTTGCCCTAGGCAGAGGGTGTTTTCAGTACCTTTGGACCCAGGACCTCACACTAGCTACCTGTTGTGGAGCTACACCCGGAAGTCCTGAGCTGAGTGTTTGTAGATGCCAAACCACAAACCTGAACCCACAGAACCTTCCACAACCCTCTCCTTCCCCTTAGCAGGGGAACGCATAGGATCTGAGGCAGAACTGCCTAGCCAAACTAGTTGATGCAATCCAGTGTCCTCGCCACCTGGTGGGCATGTGTGGAACTGCATGTGGCTTAGGGAGACCACTGGGGACAGAAAAACTCAGGGTGCAGGTGTTCATTCTAGAGCTGCAGTTTGTTGTGTCAAGCGTCGTCATGTAGGTCTCATCGTCATGCCCGAAATGTAGCTGGTATCTGTACACATAGAAATAGTATCCTCTTTGGAGATAACTGCATGCATCATGTTCTAGGTGGTTTCAATTGGTGACGGTTAGTAAGATAGAGAGGGACAGAATGGCTGGGGACAGTCATTCTGGGGATCTGACATCTGACCCCCACACCAGGAGGCAAGAGACTAACAGGGATTATTTTTAAACATCTCTTTTATGAAAATTATTGTATGTGTGTATAGTGTCTGTCTGTCTGTCTCTGTGCATATGGAGGTGGTAGGTCAACTTTGTAGAATTGGTTCTCTCTCCTCTTACCGTGTGAGTCCCAGGGATTAAACCCAAATCATCAAGTTTGACAAAAAGCACCTTTACCCCAGTGAGCCATCTTGCTGGTCCCTCAGGCAACAATTCTTAATGTTGACTGAGTATTAAGGGCACCTAGAAAGACAATCAATAAATGCCTGGACCCCACAGCACCCTTAGGAAGGACATCAGCCCTCTGAGGTGAATTTGGCCAGCAAGATTTTCCAGAACTGCTCCAGGGGTGACCCTGAGCAGTGAGCAGTGATAGCCGAGAAGCCAGTGGGAAGATCCTCCAAATGGAAGAGTGAAACCCCAAGGCAGGACCAAGCCTCTAGGGAGGCAAAAGAAGAGGTGCTGGGGACCAGGTGGCTGTTGAAGTGAACTGAGCTTGAAGGTAGGCGCTGATGTGAACCCTACTCTAGGGGGCGTGCCATGCTCCTGTGGATATTTGGTGTTTGTAGACCAGGCTGGCCTCCAACTCACAGACATCTGCCTGCCTCTGGCTCCCAAGTGTTGGGATTAAAGGCGTGCGTTGTCATGCCCCGTTGAAAATTTTAGAATTTGAATTAAATAGCCCATGATCTATCTCTCTATCTCTATAAATATCTGTGGAGATATAGATATAGTTGGGGTCAAAATTTGTGGGGAAAATGTAGAATCATGGAATTCATGAATTCTGTGAACCAGTGTACACAGCTGTGCTCCACCACCTCCTTGCTATGCCAGCTGCAGGGGCTGCAAAAGCCTCAAACTACCTCAGCCCAGCTGCACCTACTGGTCACCTGACTCAGCGCCAGGGGAGCTGCAATTACAAACTCACTTCTAACATTTATTAAGCACTTGCTGTATGCTAGACACAGGTTTGAGCTCTTGACCACTTCCATCCCATCTGGAGCGACAGCTTAAGGCTGAGGTGGATCTTGGGCAGGGCCAGCTTTGGTTCCAAATGTGTGAAACATCACGTCTCAACCTCATTTTCCTCAGCTATAAAATGGGGCGATGGGAGACCCCATTTCTCAGAGGCAATAATACTATTACATGAGCAGTAGCTTTCAAACTGCTTAGCTGCCCTCTGTGATAAAAATACATGCGGCAGTCAGGCATGGTGGTGCATGCCTGTGTATACTACTCAGGCAGGAGACTGAGGCAGGAGGATTGTGTGAGCCCAAGGATTCAAGTGAGCCTAAGCATCACACAGAGGCTGAAGGAAAGATTGGGGAAGAATGACCCACTGCAATAATGGCCCAGGAGAACATGCTCACACGTGCGCCTGTGGACAGCACTGATGTACGTAGTAAAGGATGTGTCACAAAGCCTTGTCTACCTGTGACTAAATTCCTGACGAGAAACAACATAAGGGAGAAGGGCTTATTTTGTTCACAGTTTGGGAAGGGATGCAGTTTGTAGGGTGGTGAAAGATGGTAGCCGGTATCAGCGAGCTGGTGGTTACATTGTATCCAGGAAGCAGACCGCAGACAGGAAGTGAAGCTGGATACCAAAGTGTAAGGACCGCCTCTAGTGAGGCACTTCTTCCCTTGAGACGCCACTTCTGACGGGTCTCCCAACCTTCCAAACAGGGCACCGCCAGCTTACCTGTTGAGTTAATATCACAGCCTGCTGATTTTGAACAGCCCTTGGGAAATAAAGTTAAAGAACGTAAAATTTACAAGAGGGAAACTGAGATTCTGGTGCCTTGGCCAGTTCTTGACCTCACAGCTGGGAGGTGAGGTGGTCTAGCCCAGACTCCAATGCAGGGCCCTGAGCTCAGGCTGAACAGCTGTTTACAAGCCAGAGTTCAATCTCTCTCTCTCTCTCTCTCTCTCCCTCTCTCTCTCTCTCTCTCTCCCTTCTTCCTCTCCCATCTCTCTCTCTCTCCTCTTCCACTCCCAATGAGTACAATAGCTAGAAGACTTAGTGTCTGTTTCTAGCCACAGACATGAGGTTGAATTTTAGTTTTATTTTTTCCAATTTTGAGACAGGGACTCACTTTGTAGCTTAGTCTGTCCTCAAATGCACAATCTTCGTGCCTTGGTCCTCCAGGTGTTGGAGTGACAAGAATGTGCCACTATTCCCTATACAATGTTAATGTTTAAAGTCAGAGTTTGAACAAAGTTGATTTATCACGATTCTAGAATGAGCTTCTGCATATACATACACGATACCAGGCACAGCAGTGTAATGTCGGTTAGCCCACCGGGCGCAAACCTGCCATCCCAACACTTGGAAGGCAGAGGCAGAAGCATCAGGAACACACAAAGCCAGCCTCTGCTACCTAGCAAGGAGGCCAGACTGGGCTACTGTCTCTGTCTCAAGAAACCAAAACCAAAATATACCCACCAAAATAAAAATACAATCAACAACATTTCCACAAACAACCTTAAGCTTCAGCAACGATTTTATTGTGGAGAATGTGAGCGTCCATGTTTACGTCTGAGCTGTCCTGTCAGTTCACCGTTTCTATTGTCTCTCATAGACATGGCGTCCATAGAAGGTCACGGACGAAGGTGTGCTCTGTTAACTCTTGGGCCTGAGGGTGTCTGCGCTCCATGCTTCGCTCTCTGCAGCATCCTGTCAAGCGGAGATTGATTCTATTACGGGCACCTGGTCCCAAGGCTTGTCCAGCTGTAGTCAGACTGCCACCTGGTGGTCACCGATGAGCTTAACGACACTGGTGCTGACGACATGAGCAGGCTTACTGCAGGAAACTGGGTTAATGATTTATTCTAGAAAGAAATCTTTTTCTATTCTAGAAATCTATCTATTGATCTGTTATCTATCAGTCATCAATCAGTCTAAAATTTATCATCTATCAGTCATCAACCAACTTATAAATCTATCTATCGGTCATCTTTCTAATCTTTTAAAACAAGGTCTTTCTAAGTAGACCTGGCTGATCATGAACGCATGAGCCTCCTGCCCCTGCCTCCCGGGATACAGGCAACTCTAACACACCCAGCAGGTCCAGAACTCTTAGATCAAGTCTGCATGTTAGGATGTACTATGAAGCCATCTGTGA